ATATTTAAAAAACAATTATAAATGAACTGCAGACCCAAGTGAGAAAGATAAAACAAAAAAAAATATTTTGGAGAACACGGAGAAATTTGTCATGGCGTTGTAATTAATAACCAATGGTTTCTTAAACAGAATACACATAGCACGTTGACTACGTTAAAATTAGAATTTCTGGTCATCAAAAGACACCATTAAGAGAATGAAAAGGCAACCAGTGGAGTGAGAGAAGATATAAATAAAACATATTGCTGGCAATGGTCTCAGATCCAGGTTATTTGAAAGAGTACTACAAATCAGTAAGCAAAAGGTAGACAACCCAACAGAAAAACAGGCAATAGACTCATATGCTCACAAAAGAAGATATCCAAATGGCCAAAGTAGCCAACTTCATTAGTCAACAGAGATATTCAAGTTAAGACCACAATGCATTACTACCACACACCTTCCAAAATGGCTTTAAAAAGTTTCTAATTCCAGAGCCACGCACAGTGGCTCACGCCTGTAATCCCAGCACTTTGGGAGGCCAAGGCGGGAAGATCATGAGGTCAGGAGATCCAGACCATCCTGGCCAACATGGTGAAACCCCATCTATACCAAAATAAAAAATAAAAAAATAAAAAAAAATTAGCTGGGCATGGTGGTGTGTGCCTGTAGTCCCAGCTACTCAAGAGGCTGAGACGGGAATCCCTTGAACCCAGGAGGCAAAGATTCCAGTGAGCTCAGATCGAGCCACTCCAGCATGGCGACAGAGTGAGCCTCCGTCTCGAAAAAAAAAAAAAAAAATGTAATTCCAAAAGTGTAATGGCAAGGATGTGGAGCAACTAGGTTTTCCAAAAGCTGTTGGTAAAAGTGTAAACCTCTTGAAAAACAACAGAGATAAACATATGCATAACATTATGACCTAGCAATTCCCCCCCTCAACATGTATCCACATAAATGCATACATCTATTCACCAAGAGACACATATTAGAATGTTCACAGCAACAGTATCTTATAACATCCAGACCTGAAAACCCAAATATGTGTCAGCTTATAAATGGATAAACAAATTGTTATATATCTACACAAAGGAAATTAATTTCTCGTACATACAACAACATGGGTGAATCTCAAAAATACGTTGAGCAGAGGATCCAGACACAGAAACACATGCATATGATTCCATTTACATAAAGTACAAAAACAGGCATTAAAATGGAAGATTCTCATAAATACAATGTGGACCAAAAGAAGCCAGACACAAAAGAGTATATAGAGATGATTCCATTTTCATAATGTATAAAAAGGCAAAACTAATCTATTCAAAGTTTATATAATGATTACCATTTGGAAAAGCTAGAAGAAAGGAGCATAGAGCTGGTTTCCAGGGTGTTCGTAATGTTCTGTTTATTGATCAGATGAATATTTATTAAACTGTATCCTTGTGGTATGTGAATGTCTCTCTAGTTTTTGTTTTTTCAATTTTTTATTTAAAACACTTTTGGGGTACAAATAGTTTTTGGTTACATGGATAAAGTGTACAGTGGAGAAGTCTGAGATTTTGGCCACCCACGTAGTGTACACTATACACAATATTAAGGTGTGTATATTATTCCTCAATAAAAATGTATTGTTAAAACGCAAAAGGATATACATACATACAAACCAACAATAAACATTTGGCAAAAACATACCTAATTAAAAGATACAGAGATATGGTGTGGGGAGGGGAATGAGGAATAGAAATAAAGGATCCTTCTGCTGCCCCATGCCTGATACACTCCAGTTAGCACACACAGGGCAGCACTGAATCCAAGTTGGCCTCTAGCCTGTGGGATGGGGAGAGAGGTAAGCCCAACTCAAATGTCTGTGGCCCAGGAAAAAAAAAGTTCAAATAGAGGTCCAAACACCAGATATCTAAAATATTAAAAGTTATAAAGCTAGTTAACAAACTGTTGAATAAAATGTTATCCTTGCTCACATTGACATACAGAAACACACACACCCAGCTTCATAATGATCAGGAATGCCAGGTTCGAATTTAGAATCCTCAGGCTCTCCCAGGCCCCTGGCCCAGTCTTCTCTTCCCAAGCCAGCTAAGGCCCACATTGCAAAAAAACCTCAAAATTGCACATGTGGACACCCCAAGTCTTATAAATTGCATCCAAACCCCAACAACCAGCCATTCCTTGGGCCTAGAAGGGCATACCAGCAGCACAATCTTCCCTTGGGAGGTTACTCCTGAAAAAAAGGCCCACACAGTTCTGGGCAGCAGGCTGGGGCCATTTGGACAGGGCCTTACAGAGTTGTTTCTAGCTGGGTACACAGACTGAATGGATCTATCCCCCTGGCCCCACGTACTCCTTGCCTCAAGAGAGAACACAACCAAAGAGGGTAAGGTTAAGAGCCTTTGTTGCCAAGTTTAAGGGCAGTGCTAGACAAGAGTGCTCTATTCTATACCCCACCAAATCGAAGTAAGAGCTGACACTTGCGCTACACTTTACAAAGCGCCTTCACAAACAATCCTCTTAATCAATCCCCACAATCTTGTATGCTTATTACATACTACTATTTGAGAGATGGTGAAACTGAGCTAAAACTGATTTTCCTGAAGTTACACAGTTAAAACCTGAGTACTCCTAGGTCTCCAGTGAAGGAGTTTTCCCTCCAAATTTCAAAGGCTGTGCTCTTTCCACAACTCAACACTGCCTTGCATCCCCCAGGTTCCTAAAAAAATGATGGGCTGAAAAGAAACGGGAAAATGTAAATATGTAGTTGAAACATTTTGGAAAAAAGACCAGAGTCAGGGAAGGAAACCTAACACCAAATACAGAGCAGTTTCTGGGAAAGAGTCTGGGCCCGGAGCAAAAATCATCACTGGGACAAAGACTGCTTTGTAGGGTAGCAATCCCAGCTGGGTCGTGGGGGCTCCATTCCCACCCCAAACCACAAAATGAGTGCCTTCAATACATTTAAGCAATCCTAACCCAAATTCCACACCAATTACATGGGGGGGCCTGGCTCCACAGCCCTGCTTCTCTCCACCACCCCGCTGAAAATACTTTATTAATGACAAGGCGGCATAAAGCCACAGAACTCCATCTGCTCTGGGACGATCCAGACAGCAGCATGGCACCAGCCCCAGGTGAGGCCCGACCCTCCTCCAGCAAGGACCCGCTAAGGCTATGCCTCCCTCTAATTAGCATGGCGTGGCTCAGGGCCTGGGCAGTTATTTAGGGAACCATCGCCTGCTCCCAGCATAGATATCCATAAGGCTGGGGCAACAGGCACTTTCTGCTCAAAGCCAGCTGCCTGAAGCTGCCATCTCCTCATTCCACCATCCCAGGACCCCTCCTGCCCCCTCTGCACCCTCAAGCTCAGCAGCATCATGTCACTTGCACACACAGCTGCAGAGTACATGCTCTCGGATGCCCTGCTGCCTGACCGCAGGGGCCCCCGCCTCAAAGGACTGCGCCTGGAACTGCCCCTGGACCGGATAGTCAAGTTTGTAGCTGTCGGCTCCCCCTTGTTGCTGATGTCCCTGGCATTCGCCCAGGAGTTCTCCTCCGGTAAGTTGCTTCCAAGACCCAGTGCACAAGAGAGACACCTCTTCACGTCACTCTCTGCATGGGCTCTGAAGTGAGATGGTGTGCACAGTGACTGGATTCCATGATTTCGGGCTGGGCTGGATTACCCAAAAGGCAGATGACACATGAGTTCAGGGCACCAGCAAAGGAGAGGCACCAAAAAGTCTGAAAGTCATCTCCAAAATATTACAGTAAAAAAAAATTAGTTGTAATTTTAGTATTCATATATGTTACTTCATTTCAAGTAATTAAACGTTTATTTTAGTTTTCAGTATGGATTAAAGAAGTTGATGCCCTTGGCGATGTTTTTAAGACCTTAGACCTCTTCATCTTATCTGGGCTGTCACCAAGTCTCTTATTTGCTCTGGGCCTTCTTCCCACCCCTAGCCCCCCAGTTCCAAAGTTACTGATTTGAGAACATGTGTTAAGTGCCTGAGACCCAGACACATCAGAGATGCTGGATGAACCCACTGCTTCCTGTCTACAAACCCCAGCCGCACACACAGACAAGAGCATACACATACATCTAGGGTTTCAGGTGCTGGATTCACTCAGCAAAACAACTACCTTTTTTTTTTTTT